CGGGAGCGGAAAAGAAAATAAAAGAAACATAGGAAAAAAAGCAGGAGATAGTTGATAAAATCAGTAATAAAGGCCAAGATCTAGCAACGAGTAGGGGCGCAATGATTAATAAATTAATTAGAATGAAAAAATAAACCAATTTAATTAATTTAATTACGGTAAATAATATATTAATAAACTAAACAAAATTACCATTACCAGTGGTCCCGTATTATTGAATTATTGAATTCTGTGGTGATACCTATAATAGGATGTACTATAATGCAGTTTTTCTATAGGATAAATTTGAATTCATACGTTCATAAAAATCAATTGAAAGTTCCTACTACATACGTAGTCAATTATTTCAGGCGGTCGGAGCGAAGCTCGATCCTTCTGCCGCACGATAAATACTATTAAAAGCTGCCAAAATACTCTTTTTAATAAAATAAAAATACATTTCCTAATTTTCGTTAGCACTGCGTAGGGCCGCACACCTGCTGCATACTGTTCGAATTTATGAGGCAGGTGGATTAGCCTCCGTCAATTTGATATTACTTTTCTCTTCACCCAAGTTAACTTACAGTTCATTTGACACCTATTGTTGCACGTGAGTAATTTCAGGCGATATTTATCTATTTTAGTTTGCGAAACTTTTGCACCGCCTGTAAAGCCCACGAGACAGGACGTACCTGTCAGTGCCCCAACCGCATACGTTCAGTTATCAGAGCGGTCGGCGAAAAACAACGTGAGTATAACCCTCGAGTTCTCTGTTTCCATCTTGCTCTCTCTCTGTTGTTTTGGTGCAGCCTGAGTTTAAAATTTCCCTCACTGGCCGAAATTGGGTTTTTTTCTTCGAATAAGAGGAAGTTCACTGGTTTCATATATCAAACGCGAGATTATGGAACTTCATAAGACCTGCCGGAGATTAGTTAGGAGTAGGCAAATCTTTAGCGTCAAAGCATGCCCAGCCTCGAACAAGTGAGGGGTATAATTCGATCTATCTAAGGGTAATAAGAACAAGCTAACTAGTTTTGAGGCTTGGGCCAGAGTACTGCAAAAGAAGGGGAAGGGCTGTTGTTATTTACCACACTGCATCCTAAAGAATCTATTGTAAACCATCTGTTCGAGTACGTTGAGTAAGTTTCAACAGTCTGACCACCAAACGTCGGGCTTCTTGCCTCTATTTCCACTTGCGCACATTTACTCATGTTCCGCTGAATCAAATCACACGATATTGTATTCTGAATGACTTGTTATTATCCCCCACTAAACAGTCCCTCCCGATCTTGTTGAAGGAAACGAATACCTTTAAGTCAGAAAATACAATTCGGCAAACAGGTGTTTAGTCATCTATGAATGGGCTTATACAGTTTCATAGATAGTGGAAATATGAGGAGTG